CTCAGCGCTCCGCCGGACTCACCCTCCCCAACCAGCCATGGCTTCCCTTCTTCGCCAAACCGCCGCTCGCGCTCCCTCTCCTCGCCCAGGCAAGCCAGCCGAGAGGATCTCGTACCTCGAGCCCAGCTCTCGCGAGAGCCGACCGGCTTCTGGGGGAAAAAAAAAGAGAGGGAGAGAGGCGCGAGGCTTGCTTGCGCGCGGCTGGACTGCAACGCCCAGAAGGCCGCCTGGAGCCTGGCCTGCCGCAGGGCATCCTGGGAGTTGCAGTCCCCCCCAAAGTCGCCACAGGGCCTCCCACCTGGAGCCTCTCCTCCCTTCGCCCCGCCTCTCTCTCTCTCTCTCTCTCGGGCACACCTGGGCTCTCCATGGGGCCGTAATCTTCCGAATACAGGCGCATACCTTAATTTTCTTCTCCGGCACTTGCGGTTCAAAACCCTCTGTTGGGTCTGTGCGCTTCTTTTTTTATTGGGCCTCCTAAAAATTAATTAACAACCCCCCGAATTAAAAAAAAAAGGGGGGGCTTTTCAAGCTCCTCCAAGACTCTGTTAAACGGCGCTCCTAAAATATGATTTCGGTACTCGAAGAAAAGTACACCCCGCGCCTGATTTGGGACCACCTGGGCTCTCTTTCTTTGCTTTTATTATTATTAGAAAAATGTCTATTTCCTCTCCCTGCAGAGCGATTATTGAGGATTACAACACAGCAAGAGACCGATTTAAGGGTTCAAAGTAGGCCTGTTACTATCTTTCAATATGTATAAAAGACAGGAAACATATTGTGGTACTACTAAGGTTATTATCTTTAGTTTAGTATTTATTCCAGATTGATTTCAGGATAAAATTGCACACAGAAATAGATTGTTTAGGCTTTAGAAGTAACAAACTGTCTTGGTCTTGTTACACAAATCATACAATGTAAAAAAAGAAGTTCCATCGACAACATACCTCCAAGATAAGCAATGTTCTTCACCCAGAACTAAATATAGCAGGTCTGGAGATACCAGGAAGCTGGTTCCCATTGCTAACTGCTTGCAAGTGCTCCGAAAGATTCCCCCCCAAAACACACACACACACACCTGATCCTTTTTAGGGGGAAATGTTGGGGCTTCAACGTGGAACTTCCTCTATGCAAAGCCTCAAGCAAAGGTCCTTCCATATATCACAGTGAGACCAGAGAGACACGTGTGTGTTCTACTTTTAAAAGTTCCTGCAGGAGATTTACGCCAAGCATATTTTGAAAGTTTAAAAGATTGGTGCAGAGATGTGACCGTGTTAGAGAAAACCTGCTGTGAGGACTTGGAAGCTTTGTTTATTAATTGTCATCCATTTTATTCCCCAAGAGAATTCTCTTCGATAATCCTAGGTGGAATTTACATTGGCCCCCAAGCTTGTACCGATAATGCAGTATGTATTCTTGCTGACTTGATAAATAGACTAGAGAGGAAATATCCTGACTCTCTGCTTATAGTCTTAGGGGATTTTAACAAGGCAAATTTATCACATGAATTGTCTAGATACAAACAGCATGTTCGTTGTTCCACCAGGGATAAGAATACATTAGACCATTGCTACACCACAATTAAGGGTGCTTATCGTTCTGTCCCTCGTGCTGCCCTCGGTCGCTCTGACCACTGCCTGATTTTTCTTATTCCAACTTACAAACAGAAATTGAAAACTGTTAAGCCAGTGGTTAAGACAGTCAAGCGTTGGACTGAGGATGCAAAGTTAAAGTTGCAGGCTTGTTTTGACTGCACCGATTGGAATATGTTTGAGTCTACTTCCAATAACCTAGACGAACTTACTGAAACCATAACATCTTATATTAAGTTCTGTGAAGACTTATGTGTGCCTACTAAGACCGTGCGTATCTACAATAATAACAAAGCCTGGTTTACAGCAAGGCTTAAGAAATTTCGACATGCCAAAGAGGTAGCTTATAGGAACGGAGACAGAACCCTGTACAATCAGGCTAGAAATATACTGAATAAGGAAATTCGAGCGGCAAAAAGAACGTACAGC